GAAATGGAAGTAATCCCAACAACTATGAAACAAGAGATTCCTCGAAACCCAACTTTTCTTCATATAAATGCATCTTGCCTGGACTCCTCTGTAATAATTGTAATGATGATTCCCGTCGGACCCTAGATTTGGTACATTACCAGTAATTTCGCCGGCATCGTCAGCAAGCCTTGCCATTCTTAGTGCAAAGCTACGACTTATCAGAAGCAAATGAAGTACATCCCCTGACTACCTTTCCACTTAACCTTTGTGGTATCGCTCTTTCTGTACTGGCATATTCACCTATCTCATATCCTTGTATCCCCCCCTCACTATCAAAACTTTCAATTTGCTCCAAAGGCTCCCCGCTGATTACCTTATCGCCCCATTGCGCCCGAAGTATTTTTCCAACTTTCTCCTTTCATTCTGAAATCCATTTCATATATGTCCTATGATAGTCTCCCTGTTGGCCTCTAATCTTGTGTTCTGTATTTTCACTGTATGCCAATAGTCTTTCTATTACTTTTCAGATAAATTCGTCTTCCTTCAGTGCAATATTTCCGTTATTTGGAATTTTGTAGTATCCATGTTTATGAAGTCATTGTTATTTGAATTATATGCTGATTTTCATTCCTGTTTTAGTACTATACTTATGCTCACAGTTGCGGCGTGTTATTTAATAAACTCTCGAGCACTCCTGTTGTTCTCATCTTTGTAGGCAAACGAGGGAGAATTTCTGTTTTTATTAGCACCTAAATATTTCACTTTATTTATATCGGTCGAAGCTTTTGATTCAGTTCACAGGAGAACGGACATGTCCACTTTTGGTCGAATATTTTACTCCTGATGTGTTTTGCTTTTATTGCTCTTTATGACTTTCGTTTTTTTTCATGTCTTTTCTGCAATATCCGAGTCAGCACATTCATTTCTTATTCCTAGAAATTCAAATCCATTAGTCTTAAGCTTCTGATGATCAAGCTCATTATTTCGATCGTCAATCTGTAGTTGTGGTGAGACTGGAAATTGAAGCTTATTCCAGCATGTGATTTTCCTTTGAATAATCTCTTGAGTATCCCATTACACCAAATTACCTTGATACATACCTACGATAGACAGCCGCTCATCCTCCACCTCCAATTTAAATTTGATTTGGATTACAAAATTCGGGAATGATACATTTTCCTTGCTATGCAACCAAAGTGCAAAGTAATAATCCAATTATCACATGGACACTCTTAGTTTTAGCTTTGACTTCTCAAATTCATTTTCGAATTTATCCATATATACATTTGCCAAATAAAGTGAAGGTAGAGATCCCATAGGTATTCCACATTTTTTCTCAGATATTGTCGTTGAATGTGAAGTATGTGGTCCTTATTATCAGGTTGATCGGTCGTGTTGACGAGTCTATCTGTATTCGTTCTACCTCCAGAAGATGCTCTTATCGTTTTAATCTCTTCAGTAGGACTGTGAATGCTTTCTCGCCTGGGACGTATATGCATATAAATTTTATGTCGAAACTTTTCAACAGCTATTTTTCCGTCCAATGCTTTAGATTCTTAGGGGAAATTCATATGAATTATCCACTGTTTCAACAATCTGTCTTTTACCTTCTTGAACTTCAAAGAGATGAATTTTGCCAGTTTGGTAGTCGTGCAATGCTTGTTATTAACTATTAACCTTATTAGTATCTTTGATATTTCGTAGGCTGTTGGGGGTCTGCATCCTTTTTAATTAAGGAATTCATCATCCGCCTGTCAATTTCGCTGTTACTATGCCTTTCCTCCATTATATCCTAAGTATTCATGATTTGATCCTTTCAAAGCTTACTTCTCTCTCTATCATAGTTTTCCTTTAATTACTGGATTAAAACATAGTAAAGGATTTAATTAAGGGCGTTCTAATGGCACTTCCTCGTTAACTTGTAGAAACCAGAATCACGATACCATAACATTTGCAACAGCTCGGAAAGATCAAAGGCATGATTGACTTAAAATTGTTTTCTTTGTCCGTCTATAAATCAGGGAATTGTTCGTAAATATTAATTACATAGAAGTGGGTTGTCCTCGTCACAACTTGGTATTGTTGTCAAGGCGACTTAGTAGAACGTACCTAGTCCGAAGTCGTCTACTATAGTAGTTGTCCTGATTCCCAGCATCAGACAGTGGACTTGGTACATTCTCAAACGTTTTGGCGGCATCGTGGTTGGCATCATCAGTGAGTTTTGTCATTATCCGCACCAAGCTAAGAACTCGTCAAAGGAACCCACTTAAATAAATCGAAAGGACACTGCGACCATACCAAAGACCACAACATCTTGGTCTCCATATCTTAATTCCATAGTTCAATTAAAGGTATGAATACTAAGATGGTGTAGCCACTATTTTGGTCGCTGCCTCCTTTCGTTGCAGCGAGATGGTTATGGTTTATATAAAGATTAAGATTGTGTGAACTTTGGTTTGATCGAATATTCTTTCTCTATATCGAGTTGGCTTAACCTCATTTAAAAAATCTATTCGTGTTTTTAGATACTTAAGCATACTCCGTATTGTCTTATGCCATTGATGTCATATGCTCTTTCAGCTTTTTACCGTTGACTGCATATATTCTAGTCATTTTACCTGCTTTGTAATTGGAACATCAGGGAGAAGCGCCGCCTATGTCACTGAGCTACAACTTACCAAAGGGACAATTTTGTTCTACCCTCTACTTCCTTCTCTTCCTACTCTTTTCGTTTAGTACATTTTTTATCTCTTTGCTCTGTATCCTCATCTCTCGCTCCCGCTTCAGATAGCTAAGTCACTTCTCCACTCCAATGTGTGTTTTAGCTCCTTCCACCAAATCCAATATGCAAGTCATTTCAAGTTTGTCTATCGGATTATGGTTATCTTACAACCGGTCCCTCATTCCTTCTCTCGGACTTCTTGTTTCTAATGGTATAGTTGAATTCACAATTTCTGGTTGGTGTTTCTGACATTTTCCAATACTTTTTTGATATTTTGGGATACTTTGCGGCTAATCTTTAAGTTAATTCGTTGTTGAAAATTTCTTCCAAGATTCCTCTTGGTAAAAGTTTTAGCGGTTTTATTTTAGTAAGGATCCTTTAATTATGAACCACAATTACTAAATTAGTCTCCATTGGAACATAGTTATTGTACTGTTTTTAAGTTATATTGTACCCTTTGCTCTTTAGAGTGGAAGTATCTTGCTAAAATTCTGCCTAGTTGATTCTCAAACTTATTCACATGTATTAGAGGCTGAACAC